TTTCCCTGTCGCAAGATTGAGCTTTTTCAGGTAAAACTTTTGCCTTCGCACTAATGAATTCGGAACTTGGGAAATCCGATGAACATCATAGAAGCTGGGTTTCTTCTTCTCTCGTCCTGTTTCGTTTTCTTGTCTGATAGATCTTCTACGGGTTTGTCTGTAAGAGATGTTTTCGGAACGTATGACCAAGAATCCGGTGTAAAACGTTTCTGTTTGGTTTCTCCGCTCGCTATGCGATTACGCGTTGCAAATGATGCAGTTCGTTGTTTGGTCGCTGGGAAAACGACGGGAAGTAGATAAAGTTCCCTTCTTTTTTATCGATTTTTCTTTCAAATTTTCTGTATCCCAATCCCAAAATGATAGGGCTTGCGTCCCCTGTTTTGATTTTCTAGGTGATTTCTACCTTTTAGATAGGTAAGGTTGATCGCCTCATTGAGTTAATTGTAACGAGCGGATGTTAGTGCCTTCAATGTTCTAAGTTATAATTTTGATCCAAGTTGAATGTTAATTTAACAACACACGGGTTTAATCGAAGCCGAATCGAGAGATTTCAGGCGAGTTTTCTGAAAACCTACTGGTTTTTGAGCAACTCTCACTTGTTCAGATAACCATAGAATTGGTGAACTGACTGTGATCATCGTAACTAGAAGTTTCATCCTTGTGGTTAACAAGTTCCGGCTTAATCTGATATACTAATTTGGAAGATGAAGAGTACTCGCAAATGTGGGGCATGAGAATGAGAATTCTAATGTTTCGCGTGCTGAGGAGATTAAGAATCAGGTTGACGAAACATTCAAATGTGACAGCTTTCTCCAATGTCTTTCAATTATTCTTCTATCACTTTGCTTGCTCAATGTATATAACTTTTAAAAAAGTCCTTGGGAATCAGTTTTGATTTTGAGTACTTTTCAAAGTTGGTTCAACCTTTTCCCCGGGTGCTCTGCTTTTCTTTTTTATGAATGATATATTCTTTTTTGTTTATGTTGTGAACAACTTCCTGAATCTTGCTTGTTGCCTGCAGCTCCCAAGTATTCTCATGACATTGATCTGTATATACAAGCTATAGATCTAAACAGCAGTAATGGTGCTTATTGAGCAAACCGTGCGCTCGCTCACACAAAATTAGAGGAATAAGGGAGTGCAATACAGGATGCATCAAAGGCCATCCAAATCAATCCAAAAGGTTCAATCTTGTGATAAGATCGTTGCTTCCTCTTCCCACAAATTCAAGGGGGCCTAGAAGGATTTCTAACAGGTTCATCTTTTATCTCTGTTATCATGTGTGGCATTTAAGCTCCTTGTTTCTTTCCTCTTTGCTTTGGTAGCTTTTGACCTCATAGCTATTGTCACCTTCTTTTGACCTTTTTGGTGAGGAGCCAAACATTCTAGACTGCCTGAATTCTTGATTAATTTCAAGCTGGAACTTTAACCTGAAAAGGTCAGAGCTTGATTGTTTATTATCTGATTAAGTAATGGAATCCCAAAAACTGGATAGTAATCTGTGCGAGTTTTGGTTTGGTGTTGGACTTTCTTCATCTCATAAGAGAGGTTGTAACCTAGGTCAAAAAGATTTGTTCCTTTTAATGCTATCAGCTGTGTCAACTTTGTTTTCCTAGCTCGACGATGATCATTTATAGTATCTCAGTTTCCTCACATCTGTTGGAGATTAAACTGTACGAGAGTGTTGTAAAACTCTCTTGATATTCCTAAAGTTCGTTCGAATTATTATCAATGCAAGTGTTGGTTTTGCTCATTTTTCTTGACAGCAATATGTTACGCCACAATTGAAGTTTATTTACCATTATGTGAAGCTCAGACCCTCTCTAGTTTCTTTGATCCCAGAAGCCAAAAGTGCTTCTGAAGTTTTTTGTGTTTTCCCTTTAATTATCTAATGCTGTCCATGTCTATTCAGGATTGATGTATGACTTGCTGTGAAGTGATCCTTGACCCCATCCTGGAAGAGGTCCAAGCAAGCAGGGAGTTGGCCTTTCATTTGGTGGAGATGTAACAAAGAGATTCTTGCAGGACAACAATCTAGGTTCGAGTGGTTGCTCATTCTTTGTATTTGGTCAAGCGTTTTAACTTTTTTAGATGGATTTAACTCTCGTTTTCTGAAACGACAGAATTGGTGGTCCGATCACATGAAGTAGAAGATGAAGGTTATGAGATTGAGCATGATGGCAAATTGATCACTGTCGTCTCTGCACAAAATTATTGTGATCAGGTAACTGAATACTCCTGTTTCAAATTTGAAATTTTGGACAGTAGAACATGAAGATGTTGTTTATTTTGTACAATCTTCATCACCCATCTCTTATCCTCTTTGTGGGTCTGTGAAAACTGTACATCATATGTAGCAAGACGGGTAACAAGGGTGCCTTTATTCGCTTTGAAGCTCCGGATATGAAGTCGCCGAACATTGTTACATTCTCAGCTGTGGTGAGCATATAGCTTTGTTATCTTTCCGCATAACCTTACATTCTCCTTTGCTTGAACATTCTTGTTTTCGCTATGAAACCGGAATCAGGAGACTAGTTCAAAATTCACACTCACAATCTGTTAGAAATTTTCTGAATTGCATTTAGTTCTTTGTTTTTTTTTAGCTGCTGTTTCTCCAGTTGTCCCTGGTCTAATTCCAAAGAGGAAAAAGACTTTTTCTTTATATGATAAAATTGTGATTACACAGAGAGTGACAACCAAAACCCTTTTGTAGAAATGACCGGAAACTCTTCTCTGTATTTACATGGTTCATTAGAAAATCAAAGCTTGGTTTTAAGCTGCTTGTCTTAAGAGACCCTTTCTCAACCCAGATCTAAAGATCCCCGGAAAGGATGAAACAGAAAAACCCAGATGGAGAAGACAGTGATATTTAATAATGCACGGCAGATAAAACTGGCACATGCTGCTGTTGTTGGATGGTACAGCCCTTACACCTGTGAATGTGATGAACACACACCACAACCAAGAAGCCCCGAGACCTTATACTATTGCTTTCCCCCCTTTTCCTTTAGTTTTGTGAGCAGAAAAATCTCTTTGCAGCATAAACCCTTGCATTACAAAGCATCGGATTCTTCCTTCAATGGCTCCTCCTATGTTCTCTCTGAGTGTTCTTGAATCTTTTGCTGCTGCTGTTGTTGTTGTTGTCGAGTGGAAACTGCTGTTACAGGAACTTGTATTATGCCTTACTGTTATGGAATCTCCCGGCTCTTCTTTTTCCTGTGAGATTCGCATATTCTTGCAGTCTTTTACATGTGGGTTTTTTTTTTCCTGCATAAATTATGTGTTTTGGTTTCAAATTCTAAAGATTGTAATGGTAGTTCTTTCTGGGGCGTACAAATGTGTATATACATACATGTGTGTGTGAGCGTACATAAACAAATGACGATTGCAGCATATAAAGTACACACTGTTTTTATACAGAAACGCGGAGAAAGAAGACAAGGAAAAGGTAAGTGGTGTCAAATCTGAAAGCACCCAAGACTGGCAGAGACCAGACAAGATAGATTTTACCCTCCTGTAAATATTTAATTCATTTAACCATGTGTATATATGAGTTTTGGAGTGGGTCAGTTGTCTGTCCTAAAATGAATATTCATCCATGTGATGTCCCTACGGTCATTATCTGCTCCTGGATTCCCCGTGTTTGAATCATTGTTTATATACGTATACATACATGTCCGCAGGTTATGGCTCTCATCAGTGTATATTCGGTGCGAACTTGATGACTACAAATTGGGGAGGATATCTTTCTAGTTGAGGGATAAAGTCTTGTACATAATATATATATATATATATATATATATATACACACACACGTGTGTATCATATCATTTAGACTGTATATATATATGTATAAGAGCAACAACGCCTATGTCGAATTTGAAATTTAATTTCATTTTGTTAGTACATATATTGAAGTGTGTGTTGGAAAGGAACAATTTTGATGCATCCATACATTGGTAGCTTCTAACTCTGACTTTGAGGCTAAAACTGCTATAAACAGACAAAACGCTCTGCCCTTATAACGATGTGTTCCCCATGTCTCGTGACTTTCAAATAAAAGAATTTATGATTGGTAAATCTTTAATATGATCATGTGATTTGTGACTTTAACATCATCTGTTACACTGAGAATTTAAAAAAAAATGTAATAAATTCGCTGGATTAATACATAATCATATGGATCTTATTTTGAAATTGAAAAAAATAACAATTGCTCAAAACTAAAAAACCCTGAAATAAAATATAATTAAATAAAGACCACACGGAAATCCAAAACATCAATCGACTCTCAGTAACATAAAAAAAAAAAAGTGATTTGAAAATTCAAGAGAGATTCGAGTGAATGCGTAAAGAGTGGGGAAATTATTGTAGGGATCAGAAACAGTTGATCAACTGTACACCATGGATAGAAGAAGAAGACGACGACTAGTCAATCTCAATCACATTTCTCTTTGCGTTCGTGTGTGTTTTTTAAAATTTTATTCTTTTTAAAATAATATATATCATAATTAAGAATGCAGATACATGTGTGTGTTTGTGTGTATGTTCTGTCGCTACGTAAACGCCATTATTGTACGTCTAAGTACGTATGTATGTATTCACAGTAATATGCAAACACACCATCGAGTGTTTTAGAAATATGATGTATGTTTTTATATATAAAAAAAAAGATGTATACATACATACATATATATGCATGTGGTCTTCACTACCACCCATCCCCCACTTCTAACCCAATGGTACGTATCTGTCTTTTCGTGTTTCAAAGATGAAGGTAATGTCCCTACTCCTTTTCTTGTCTCAATCTCTTCACTCTCTCTCTCTCTCTCTCTCTCTCTCGGATGCGGTCATTCGAGCATCATATAATAACACATGCAAACACCACACGAGACTCTCCTGAATAGCACTCACTCTCTCCGCAATGCTCTCTTCACTGTCTGTCGCTCGCTTTCTCTTGTTCCTCCTCATCTTTCTCGCTCTCCGGCGCCATGTGAACTCACAACCGCCTAACTCCCTCCCTCCCTCTGAATCAGAGACTCTCTTCACCATCATGGATTCCATGTCCTCCGATCATCAATGGCGCCTCTCCTACCCCAACCCTTGCGCCCCTGGCTCCTCTTGGCCCGGTATTGAGTGCAAATCCGGACCGGATCGGTTTTGTCACGTCTCTCGGCTCGACTTCGGCTCTCCGCCCAACCCTTCCTGCAGATCCTCCGCTTCTTTTCCTCGCCTCATCTTCTCTCTTCCTCATCTTCATTCCGTCTTCTTCTTCAACTGTTTCACTCGCTCCCGTACCTCCATTGTTTTTCCCTTGGCCAGGCTTTTCTTCAACTCTTCTCTGCAACAGCTCAGCCTCAGATCAAACCCTTCTCTCATTGGATCCATCCCTCCTGGGATTTCTTCGCTCAAGTCTCTAAAGATCCTCACTTTGTCCCAAAACCAATTTACGGGAAAGATTCCGACAGGTATTTTCCAGTTGAGCAACCTGGTACACCTTGACTTGAGCTACAACACGCTCACAGGGATCATTCCCCTGCAGCTGGGCAATCTCAAGAACCTCGAAGGCTTGGATTTGAGCTATAATTCGCTCGTGGGTTCGATCCCAGCCACGATTTCCGATCTGGGTTTGCTCCAGAAGCTCGATCTGAGCTCAAACTCTCTGTTTGGCGCAATCCCTGATGGTGTAGAGATGCTACATTCTCTGTCTTTCATGGCTTTAAGCAACAACAAGCTAAGAGGGCCGTTTCCGAAGGGGATTTCCAAGCTTCAGAATCTACAGTACTTCATCATGGATGATAATCCCATGTTTGTTCCTCTTCCTGCAGAATTGGGATTCCTCGCTCGTCTCCAAGAGCTCCGTCTCGCGAATTCGGGTTATTCTGGGAATATCCCGGAGAGTTACACCAAATTGATGAATCTAAGCTCGCTGTCACTGTCGAACAACAGATTAACAGGCGAAATCCCATCTGGGTTTGGCTCTATGCCTCACATTTTCCACCTGAATCTTAGCAGAAACATGCTGATGGGCGTCGTACCGTTCGATTCGAGCTTTCTGAGGAGGTTGGGTAAGAACTTGGATTTGAGCGCGAACTCGGGGCTGTGTCTGGATCCGGCAGATGAGTTCAGCCTCGTGAAGACCGGCGTCGATGTCTGTGGGAGGAACAATTCGGGTCGTGGTGGGTCGCTGATTCATCCATCGAAGAAATCCGAAGCTCCTTCAACAAATCACTACAGATTCTGCTTCTGCGTTGCTTTGTTGTTTCAGTTTGCTCTGTTTCTGGGTTTGCATAATAATCGGTTGCCTCTTTAAGGGGGGGGGGGGGGGAA